TGCAGCTCTTGTTTTTCTTTTCGCTCTTTGCTTAGCTATATTTGTATGCTCAAAAATCATGTGATACAAAATAATATCTATCAAATTTAACGCTTTGTGTATGCCGCCCGATAAGGATGACAAAGATGATACCATAACAGATAATACAGATTCGTATAAGCCAATTAATTTGCCGCTCAACGATGTGAATACAGATAAGACCTGCATTAAATACAAAACAAATAAAGTTTCAGATATTAATAGACATACCTACGAACCGGCTGCTGTGTTCCATGTTAACGAGAATCACATAGATAAACAGAAAAAGCCAAAGAAAAAGATTCAATTCAGCAGCGATGTGAGAGTCAAAGATTCGCCAAATCATAGCTATACGTTGGATGAGTTATCCGATAAGCAAGAATCAAATGAAATGGATGTAACGATAGAAGATGACGATCAGAAATCGATTGTTGACAACGAACCGAATGGAACTAAGGTAAGTAGAGTCTGTTCCTTCGTCTGTGTTTATACATGCTGTGTATTGTAATCCATACTAACCGATCTAATGTATATATATCCAACATTTAACCCACAACATTTTCTATTCTCTCTATTGTTCCAATCGTAACTGTTCTTGTATACACATATATATCTCAATGCACACACACACACACACACAAACAAACAAACAAACACATTAAACAGAATACGACTATTAAAAAGACGAAATCGGTGCAATTGGTATGTATCAATTAATAGATAGATCCATCGATAAATCATATATATAAGTTGTAGCTCACATAAACTGTCACTCCTATGCATCTGCCTCTTTTAGCCTAGGGAGCGCGTCATAGATATGTCCCCGGAAGATCAGAAGCAATGGGAATTGGAAGAGATGCTTAAGCCCATCGATTTGGAAAAGACACAGATACACATTGATCCCTCGCCCTTTCAGCTGGTCGAACGCACCTCCATACTCAAGGTGCATTCGCTGTTCTCCATGGTGGGCATCAATCATGCGTATGTAACAAAAATCGGACGACTTGTCGGCGTGGTGGGCCTCAAGGAGGTTTGTTCATATCAAATACCTTAACATGCACTTTAACAGCTGCTTATTAAAATCGTATTTGACAGCTTCGCAAGGCCATCGAGGACATCAATAGCAACAGCTTTGTGGCACATCCGCGTGACGATGAGATCGACTCCAAGCCAGCGATGGAGAAACCACTGCTCGCAGCCAGCGCCAGCGACAAGGCCGTAGACATGACCATCACCTCAATGGATTCGGCGCTTTCGAATTCCGACAATTGTTCCGATATTGAAATGGAGCATCTCAAGTCTTTAAATACGCCGGAAGTAACGCTCACAATGCCGCCAACCGATACAAATGCAAATACAACAATTCAAGACACAAACAATACACAGAACATAAGCAAATCTGTTTAAGTTAAGCGAACATCTTTTGAACTACATATGTTAACTCGTTAGCTACGGCAACAATGCTTGTTTAATGCTGTTGCAAAGTCTGTAAAGATACAGTTAAACACTAAACTAAGTTATGTCATAATTAATTAATTAGATTATCAAGTTGTTATGTATTTATATCTCGTTAGTGCATAAAGTCAAAGATATCGTGATCTATTTTTAAGTTGCAAGCAATGCGAAATAAAAGTTTAACAAATATTCAAATTACCATTGCAAAACTTATTCTAAACATCAAATTTGTCTTACCTGTAAACTCAAATAAAAAGACAAAGTTGAGCCTTAAACTACGGATCGATTCAAGTCGGAACCTCGACTTTGGATTCTGTTCGTGCGCCTGGTTGTCCTCGTTGTCCTTATTTTTATTTTGGTTACATTTAAAAGTTAAGTAATTCTTATTCAAATAATTATATTTATCGAACTGAGTTAATTTTTTTATACTCAGTGTACTGAACAAATCGTAGATGCAATCTCCCAAGTTAAAAGGCATCTCGGATTTAAGACTTTAATGAAAAGTTCAGGTAATAGCTCTTATGTTTATTTCAGCTATAGATGAATTCCGGGTTTATAAAAATGATCATATTACGATCACTTGAAATATTTACTCCACAGATTTTGGATACAGGTTGTCAATAACTATTGACCGGCTTTGTCAATCAATCAACTATTCCCAACAAAATTAGTTGAGCGCTATAAATTATTTTAAACGATAGGGATCTTTAATGAACCGCTTAGCCAGGCTAATTCTGTATCGAGTCATAGATTGGTTTGCAATATTGTAAATAAGATTCAAATTTATTAGAAAAGTTGCTAAAAACAAAAATTTAACTATTGGATCTGCATCCCATCCAAAAAAAAAAAAAAAAAATTTAAATGATTTTAAAAAATGCAACTTTCCATGCAACTACTTTAGAAGAATAATAAGTATGGATTGATTATACGGATGACTTGGTCTAAAATATGATATGACTTAATGTGCTTATTTTATATAAAAAATAAAATAAACAAGTAAGCCGGGAGCTCCCGACTAGGGGATACCCTGAACCCTCTTCTTCCAACATCAAATATATATATATATATATTCTATTTTAGAAATTATATGTCAAGTTTGGTGACTCTAGCTCTTATTATTTACCAAAATTGCCCAAAAAACAGGATATCGATATCGATTTTTATCGATTGCTTGGAAACGGAGTAAGTTATCGATTATCGGAAACAAACTCGATCTGCGCGGGAACTAGGAGCACCTACAAGTTTCAAGTCTCTAGCTCTTATAGGTTCTGAGATCCTTGCGCTCATACATACGGACGGACGGACGGACATGGCTAGATCGACTCGGCTATTGATGCTGATCAAGAATATATATACTTTATGGGGTCGGAGAAGCTTCCCTCTGCCTGTTACATACATTTGGCTTTCGCACAAATACAATATACCCTTATACTCATTTTGATTGGGTTCAGGGTATAAAAATATATTGTTGAAGCATGATAGTCCATGTTTTATTTGTTTGGCTTAAAGTGTAAGTCTTTATGCTTAAGAAGTAGAACTAAATTGGGTTTGATTCAAAATGCGCGCATAATTTTGATGAAATTTACATCATAACAGCTCTTGAATGAAGCAGAGAGCTGAAACAGAATTGTCGTACATCACTTTTTAGTCTTCAAGTTCCTTCGTTTGTTTTCTCATGATAAACATCGCTATTTTACCGACAAAAATATATCTTTTCAAATATATACATTCATTATAAGTAATTGCTATATATTCAATTTTTGCAATAGATCAATTTTTGTATTAATATCGATACAAAATCGGCTTTTAACTTCGAGAGCAATTTCGGTAAGTGAACTCTCGTAAAGCACAAACAGATCTAGTATTTTTTTAATTTCAAATATAAGGAAAATTGAGATTCTGTTTGTCTCAAAACATCAGACCCTTAAGTCAATAAACTGAAGTATTTTTGAAAAAAAAAACTATTACAAATTGAGCCTGAAAAAAATGTTTTGGAGGCAGCACGAGAATATGAAAGCCCGAAAACTCCCTAAAAGCTGCTCAGACATATTTGACGAAAATTGGACTAGGGTTTGCAACGGCAATTACCCATCGAAGATTATCGAAAAATATGTTGATAAATTAATGACAGCAGGCGAGCCATATGTAGTATTCAAAATTAAAGAAAGTGTGTATCTAATATCTATGGGCGAGTCCGCAATATTCAATGAGACCCAAATTGCATTAAATGTTAATGGAACTTTTGTTAATCCAAAAACTGGGAAAACAATCGAGAACGTGGTCGCCCTTACCTGTTTACCCTATAGATTCCGCTATACTGAGGAGCTCGTGGCGAACTGTTTGTACCCCGAAAACATGTCCGATGCGAATTATACAATACTCAACTATCCACTCTATGAGAAACAATCCATGCAAGCCCAAATGAAATACGGATATCAACTGGGCGGCGTGGTTGATGATGAACCCAGTTGTGCTATCTATTCAAAGAACTTCAATTGGTGGATTGCAGTTTTTATCGGCTTGCTGCTATGCTGGGCGATCATTTCAAGTCGTTTTCGAATATAAAACAGCGCAAAATTTCTGAATGTGAACAGTAAAAAACTTCTGCTGTTAAACTAGGTGGAGCCTTAACATATTCTGTACAAATTAGCAGCACGTTAACAGAACTTCAAGGTGCGGCTTTACATAATTCAAAGATGTTAACGATATTAAAAACCGAATTGCAAGCCCCACATACTAACGGGTTTTCAGCTTACACAACTACAAGATACCCAGTAAATAATATGTAAATTAATTTGACATTTGTAATATGTTAGAAATCGGAACAATTTAAACGACACGAGAAAGCTGTTCCGGTTTTTATCTATTACAGAAATAAAACACAACAAACAAAAATAATTATTTTCCTTCTTTGGTCGCTGAAATAACAGTTCTCATTGACAATGATTGGCAGAGTTTACAAAATTTTCGATTATCTTCAAGCATATTTAATGTTAAATAAACATATTTAAATATGTTAAAAGTAAAAAACAGAAGCTTCTTTCAATTCAAAATGCGTTCAAGGTTTTTTTATAAGTAAAAATAAATAGTTAGTTTTCTGCGAAGATTTCTTAACACTCAACAAACCCCACATCAAAAACGATTTTACAGGGCAGCTTGGCGAAAAATGAGAGCGAATGTCGACAGCACCTAGTAGGCTTATTGGCCAGTTGGACTCGCACAGTTTCGCCTGCGTCCAAGTCGACTGAGGCAGCAGTCGCAGCAGCAGCCGCAGCAGCAGCAACCTGAGGGCAACAGCTGTGGAAACTCCAGCGCATTTATTGCTCTGGGTTGATAAACCTATTTTGGCAGCGCTGGCGGTCGGATGTCTTCCGCAATTGCCAAAAAAAAAAAAATAAATAAAAAAATATTAACTTAAATAAAAAGTGCAAGTGTTGATTAAATAAAACTTAAAAATAACATCAAAATATTTCGATAATTAATATTATTAGGGCACTTATCGTGTGCGCCGTTCGATAGAAATCAAAATGAAACGCCATAGCCAGGGCGACGATGTGGAGCCCATTGTCTCGTCCTCGCGGCAGCCCGTGCCCAACATCGTAGCGCCCCAATCGCCGGATACATATTCCAATGGCTCCACAGCGCGGCAGGAGCAGGAGAAACGCGAGATCGCCGGCGATGATCAGGAAGATTTTGGCTACACGCATACGCTGGTGAGCGATAAGTGGGCTTTAAAAAAATATGAAACTCGCCCGAATGTCAACCTTTTTCTTTTGAGGTTAAAAATATATTAAGCATACGACACGTGTGCACAAGTTCTGAGAGTCCTTTGAAAATAAAATAAAGCTGTGGTTTCTCATGTTGTACAACAGCTAGGTACTGCTAAAAGAATCGAACTCTTGAAGTTCTAACTCTTGCATATACATACCTTACTCTTGAAATTCTATATAACTCTGTGAATCTACATTTTCTTAGTTCCAGTTTTAATTGAAATGATGTGACACATTTTTTTAAATTAAATAAAAGATATTTTTAACTAAATTTATTCACACGATCTATATACTTATATACTCTTCCTATATACTCATCTTTTAAACTGTGTTAAATTTTTTTAATTCCAATCAATTTAATTACAACTGAAATTGATAAATTCAGAACCTAACGATCTGTTTCCACATATCCTGGCCCATTGGTGCAGAAATTAGATATCCGTATGTACAGAGTATTGAGACATAGCGAAGACACAACCCCAGCGAAAGCTTTCGCACCATTAAAGCTATCAGGCTGCCAAATTCTGAAATAGAATCTTAACGCGCGACTGGTACGAGTTTAGTTAAACAATTGTAATGACAAAAACATTATAATCTGACAAATGGGTATAACCAAACATTTTATAATAAAAAGAAATATTGAATAAACAGCCGAAAGATATTCAATCAAGCCAATTTTTTGCTAGCTGGCTGGCTGGCTGGCTGGCTGGCTGGTGTTCACAGCTTGTGGCTATTGTCTGACAACTAATTGGCAAACATCTAGTGATAATTTGTCACTTACCTGGTCTAATATTTGATGGCATTGTGGCATGACTGGGGAGCAGGCCCGAGGCCCCAATTGTTTGCATTGCTTTTTAGATATGCAAATATCCACTTTTTTTCCACCTGCTTTGATTAATGTCACGCTTTTTTTTCCTTTTTTCAAATTTGTTTTTTTCTTTGTAATTTTATTCATTATTTTCCGGGCAAGCTGCGTTAATTGTGCCTAATTAGCATCGCTTAAAGTGTTTAATTCACTGCGCATGTGAAAAATGTGACTATATTATTTACAATTCTTTTATATTTTGCCAGAAAACATACATCAAAAAATATATATATATATGTATGTGGCATGTATTGTGCGACTATCTAAATACGTTAATTTTTTAGCACCTCACATGTGACAAATTCTGTCTGTTTTTTATTTGTCCTACCGTCTAAAATATTGATGAGTCATGTCTTTTTTTTGGTTTTTTCTTGTTTTTTTTTGGTATTGATCTGTAGATGTATGGCCGTTATTCTAGGGATCTACAACAATTTGCAGGCGATGAGGCACGAAGATTGCGCAAGCTCGCCAAGTTGCGCAAACAGGAGGATAAGCTCAGGAGTCAGGTTTGGATACAACTTACATAACATATAATTAATTAACGATAAATATAACATACACACCTCCCCACTCTCCGTATAGCTGCTGCAGCTGGAGTCCAATGATCCGACGAGATTGCACAGCATGTCCTCGTGGGCGTGGCACCATGTCTCCGATCGCCTGAGCAAGGATTGGATCTTTCTAACCACATGCGCCATTATAATGGCCTTGATATCTCTGGCCATGGACGAAGGCATACGCTTGTTTGTGGCAGGTAATACCAGCTTATAGCCTGATGTCCAGATATTTTTTCACTTTTCGCATCATTTCAGCGCGCTTTTGGTTCTATAAGGATATTACTGCCGATCCATTTGCCCAGTATTTGACTTGGGTCACAATACCCGTGCTAATGATATTATTTTCAGCCACTTTTGTGCATTACTTGGCACCACAAGCTGCAGGTAGGATGTGTCTGTTAACAATTTTCCCTCCTAAGCCAGCACTATAATTTAAACTTTAAGGTTCTGGCATACCTGAAATGAAAACCATTCTGCGTGGCGTTCCACTGAAGAACTATCTCACATTTAAGACGCTGGTGGCCAAGGTTTTGGGCCTAACATTCGTGTTGGGCAGCGGCATGCCACTGGGCAAGGAGGTGAGCTAAAAGCTTTTTATAATTCGCAACTAGAAAAAGTTTGCCTCGGTTTAGGGTCCCTATGTGCACATCGCCAGCATTGTGGCGCATCTTCTAAGCAAGCTGGCAACGCCATTTCGCAGCATCTATCAGAATGAGTCGCGTAGCACCGAAATGCTGGCCGCTGCCTGCGCTTTGGGTCTGGGCACCTGCTTTGCGGCGCCCATCGGAGGTGAGGCGGAAGCTAATAAGACTTAGTATAAGTAAACTAATGAATGTCATGCATCAGCTGTGCTTTTCAGCATTGAGGTGACCACCACATACTTTGCGGTGCGCAATTATTGGCGCGGTTTCTTTGGCTGTGTGGTGGGCGCTTCGGCGGTGCGACTTTTGGCCGTGTGGTTCCAGGGCGCTGACACAGTTACCGCTGTCTATCCCACCAATATCAGCACAGAGTTTCCTTTCGATTCGCGGGAGCTTGTCTTCTTTGCCTTGACTGGGTAAGCTCTTTGTTAGACTTGTAATCATTCGTCCTTTCTTTATATACATATATACCTCGTTATATTTTTATAGTGCACTCTGCGGCTTGCTGGGCGCCTCCTTTGTCTGGGTGCATCGTCAGTATGTGCTCTTCATACGCTCCAGCAAGAAATTGAATAAGTTTCTGCAAAAGAAGTGAGTTTATTTTTCGGAAATGTGATCGAAAAACGATCCTAATCCTGATTCCTAATCAGTCAATCGGTCAGTCTGTCAATCCGTCAATCAATCGGTAAATCAGTCAGTCAGTCAATCAGTTAATCAATCAGTCAGTCGAAAAACGACCTATTTCTCATGATTCCTAATAAGTCAATCGGTCAGTCAGTTAATCCGTCAATCAGTCAGTCAGCCAATTAGTTAATCATTCAGTCAGTCGAAAAACCTTTTCTCATGATTCCTTATCAGTCAGATAATCAGTCAATCAGTCAGTTAATCGGTCAATCACTCAATCGGTCAGCCAGTCAATCCATCAATCACTCGGTAAATCAGTCAGTCAGTCAATCAGTCAATCAATCAACCAGTCAGTTAATCAGTCGTTCAATCAGTTAACCTGTCAGTCAGTTACTCTGTCTGCCAGCTAACCTGACGGTCAATCAGCCAATCACTCAATCAGACAAAAAGTTTTCTGTATATAGGTAATATCATGAACGATTAATTGAATGCCGAGTCTCTTTTTAACAGTCGCCTCATATATCCCGGCCTTCTGGCCCTGCTGATATCCACGCTGACCTTCCCCCTGGGCACTGGCCAGTTTCTGGGCGGTGATCTCAGCACCGAGGATCAGTTGATTGAGCTCTTTAGTAACTTTACCTGGACCGAGAAGGATATGAGCGCGGAGCAGGCGAACATTGTCGCCCACTGGCAAACCAAGCACACCAGCATCTTTGGCAATCTGATTAGCTATACGCTCTTCCATGTACGTAGCTCTTGGCAAAGCCAGAGGACCAACCATTCATCCATTACTCCCACTTTCCACAGTACTTCTTCTCCATCATTGGCTCCACTATGGCCGTGCCGCACGGCATGTTCATACCAGCTCTGAAGATTGGCAGCGGCTTTGGTCGTTTGATTGGCGAATTTGTGGCCTGGACTTTTCCGCTGGGCGTGCGTTATGGCGACTGCATGTCACCCATTATGCCGGCGGCGTATGCTATTGTGGGCGCTGCTGCCTTTGCCGGCTCGGTGACCCATTCCATTTCGGTGGCCGTGGTCGTGTTTGAGATCACGGGACAAATTGCGTTTGTGGTGCCCGTGCTTGTGGCTGTGCTGGTGGCCAATGCGGTTGCCTCGCTGCTGCAGCCGTCCATGTACGAGAGTGTGATAATGATCAAGAAGCTGCCCTATCTACCCGATCTGCTCTACACAAACTCCTCGCTGTACAACAAGTATGTGGCGGACTTTATGCTGCGTGATGTGAAGTACATTTGGCAGGGCATCTCCTATCAGAGCCTCAAGGATTTGCTGCGGCAGAACAAAAAGCTGCGGTCGCTGCCCTTGGTTGAGAGTCCAGAAAATATGATTCTCCTGGGCTCCGTGCAGCGTCTGGAGTTGGTTAAATTGATCGAGGAGCAGGTTGGACGCGAGAAGCGCATGGAAATGGCGCAAAGATGGCGCGAAGAGGAGATCAAGGAGCAGTCTTCTGTGCGACGCCCGTCACGCTTCGACGTTGTGGCCGCCCAGGACATGCTGAATCTGCACCAGCTTAACGCTGACGAAGCCGAGGCGCACAAGTCCATACTGAAGAAAAACAATCAGCAGTCCAGCGACTCGCTGAACAGCGTCCACAGCAATTCTGAGTCCCCGCTGCGCACGGTTCTTCAGTCCATTTTCAAGAAGTCCTCGGATCCGGTGCTCGACCTCGAAACTGGTACCAATGAGCAGCTGCCGCCCGTGGTCAGTCCATCAAAGCGTGTGCACCTGGTAAGTGCTGTTGAATGTTTTTAAAAACTTAAGTCTCTAATCATTACCCAACTCTAGATTGGCGATCGTGTCGTCGACATGTCACCCGAGGGCAAGAAGCTTTGGGAGCTAGATCAATTGGCCAAGCCCATAGACTTTTACAACTCTGCGGCACGCGTGGATCCATCACCCTTTCAGCTGGTGGAACGCACCTCATTGCTGCGCGTGCACTCCCTGTTCTCCATGATGGGCGTTAATCACGCCTACGTGACCAATATTGGTCGCCTTGTGGGCGTGGTGAGCCTTAAGGAGGTGAGTCAACCATGGCACAACTATCCAAGCTATTTCAGCCAATGATCCATTGTTTTCTAGCTCCGCAAAGCCATTGAGGACATTAACAATCAGAGCTTTGAGCCTTCAGCCCGCGAACATCCGCCAGATGTAAAGCCCCTGCTCGCAGGCAGCTCCAGTGACGAGGGCGTCAATAGCACTATCACATCCGTAAACTCCATGTCTGGCGACATTCGAGCCAATCTTATGGGGGCACAAGGAAACGGTGCAGTTAATCAGGGCGCACACACCAGCGTTTAGCTGAGGATCACCTAAGAAACAAAAAAGGTTAGCGATTACCTGAAGGAAAACTATTATACTTAGTAAGGAGCAGGACTCAAAGCACACTTGTTTGATGCAAAAATATAAATCAACTATCTATAGAAATGTTGAAAGTTAAATCCAAATGACTGGACTCATCTGGTGCGCCGCCTTCAAAACTAAACTGAAAAATACTAATACTACATATATTTTAAGAGGTTGTACCTTAAAAATGTTCAAAAGTTTTGCTTGTTATGTATTTGAATTATGTTGATGTATCTTATGTCAATAAATGTCTCTCAATTTTGTTAATAATTTTGATTGAGAGCCATCAAGTAAAACGGGCGACCATAAGGCAAACTCTATTCGGGCAGGTAGATCAATGTGATCAAAAATATTCTCAGACTAAGCGATCCACAAAAGAAATTCGTATGAGGTGCAAAGCTTCATACGATCCACAATCAAATAAAAACCCGTGGGAACGGATAAAGCTGCATATTTTAATTAGGTTATTAAATTGCGAATAAGAACTAATGGACTTCGTACGTCGAAAAATCGAATACATATTTACTTTCTTTATCATACATATTCCTTTTTAGAGCTGCGAAACTGTAAAGAATTGATTGTATAAAAAGTAATTTACTTTATAGCCAACTCTACTTTAGTCAAATTGTTATGTAACCCCTTTGACACTTGTGTCAAATTTAGTCATTTTGTCAATAGAATTCAATTTTTGATCCGTATGAGTTTTAAAATTTCTCTCACTTCCAAATCGAATTTTATAGCCGTTAATCGTTAAAAATTGCTCATTGCAGAACCGAAAACGACTTCCCCCGGGCTTAGCCGGGTAATGAATGCTTGTTAGTGCTCAGTTAAGTAAAACTCGAACCATTAAACATTTTGTATATTTTGCATTTTTATTGACTTTTTCTTCGTTTTTATGTATAAAACAATATATCTTCATTTTTTTAGTATGTTTCTTTTTGTTTTTCTTTACTTTTGCATCATTTCGATCTCTTTTTGCCGCGTTGTTGATTATTTAAAAAAGGAAACAAACAATTCTTCGCATAGAAATATATTCGGACATTATTGTTTGCATTCTTCGTTAAAGATCTTTCAAACATTCCTGCGGTTCACAACGCTCTCAAAAACTCGCTCGTTGGCTATGCACACACTTAAAATATACTCTACTCCCATTGCGACAACAGAGAGTATATTGGCTTTCTTTAATTTTCGTTTTTTTTTTTTAATGAGTAAAGCAGCGCGTTTTTAGTATAATTGTGTACGGCAAAATATTACTCGTTTTTGAATGGACATTTTCTTGCAAAAGAATAAAAACTAAAGTTAACTTGTTTTTGTTTGTTTAAATTTATGTCGTATATGTAAATGTGTGTATGTGTGTGTGTGTCAGTTTGCGTAGTGTAGTGTTGTGTATAGTATACGATTCTTTTTTTGGAGCGCTGCTTGCTTAACATGCCTCTCGCTTAGTTCCCTTTACTTATAAATGTTATTACATATATTTTTTTTGTTTCGTTGCGAAACATTTCTCACAGTTTTACAAATTAAAACAAGAGCGTTCCTTAGTTTTTTTTTTCTTTTTTTTAGTTTTTTTTTTTTTGTTTTGCCATCATCATCAAATATCATCGTGAGTTCCTGTTTACAATGCAAACAAACTAGTTGTTTTTTGTTTTGTTTCATAGGAATACATATTTGTATAAATTTGTTTTAAATTATCTGGGGTACTCGCACTTAAATATTAACAAATTTCTTTCAAATTGTAACTGAATTTATTGTTTTTTAAAAAAAGTTTGATATTAATAGGATTGTATTTTTTGTTGTATTTTATGCATAGCAATAGTTAGATTCTCTTTTAAATTATTTTTGTTTGTTTGTGGAAGTATTGTTTTTTTGTTTTTGTTTTTTTTTTTTTTATAGTTTTTAGTAACAGTTTTGTTGTTCGGAAAAATAGAAGTATCTTCTTATGTATACAATTAGTTGAGGCGCAAAGCATTCTGACATTCTCTGATCTCGTTGGGGCGTAAACGTATGCAAAAAACAAAATTATTATAATAATAATTAAACAATTTTCTGTCTCCCTTAACCTCTGTCTACTACTTTTATTAGTATTTTTATATTGTTGTTGTTGTGGTCGTGTTTTGTTGTTGTTGTTGTTGTTGTTAATGGCACAGCGTCAGTTGATAGTTTTTCTCTTTTTCTTCATTCTTCAGGTGCATTTTACATTTACATTTTATATCACAATTTTTATTATTATTTTTATTTTTATTTTGTAATTAACACATGTTTTCCATTTCAATATTGTTATTTACGCCCAGCAAAAAACCTGTTGAGCAATGTGTCAAGAATTCTCTCTGCTTTTTTGTTTGTTTTACTTTAATAAATGTTTGTGTTTAGTGTTGAAAAAATTGAAATTTAGTTGGTAAAAAAGTGTTGGGGTATGCCCTTTAAGAATTTCTTTTAATTTAGAGCACTCAATATGTGTTTAACATGCATGTTAAAGGAATGGGAATTTGTTTTTTTGTTTGTTTTATGTTTTAACATAAATGTTAAGCGCATATTAAGCAAAATTGCCTGAGTGGAGTTTAAAGCAATAGTCAGCTATTTTATAGGCAATTGTTATATTACATTTATTTATTCCAAATAAATATAATACAAATTGCGTATAAAATAGCTAGGAATTCTCAAAAGTCCAACTAGGCAAACGCAAAGTCTGTGTACATGTGGGTTTGAGTGTGGGAACTCGAACTTTTGTTCAGAGCCCGTCAAAAATGTAACTCAGTTCTTCAACTTTAATGTTCGTTATGTTTTCTTTCTTTTTTTTAAGCATTTTTGTAACAATTGTTGTTAATTGAAATGAAAATTATCAAAATTTCAACAGTTTTTTGTTTGTATTCGTGTTGTACATTTTGGTTTTCCTTAATTGTTTACAAATTTTTTATAATTGATATATTTCGGCGAAAAACAGAAAATAACTAACAATAACTTTTGCTTCTTCTTCTAGTCTCAACAGAAAAGCACAAAAAGTTAAAATTTTTTTTGGCGCCAACTGGGTTTTTTTTTTCAAAAATAGAAATAGTTTCTACGTTTAGTTGTTTGTGTGCATGTGTGTGTGTGTGTGTGTGTGTGTGTGTGTTTGTGTGTGTAACTTGCTTAAACACAATTTTCATTCATGTTTTTGTTTTTATTTTCATAATAAAAAAATTATAGCGATTAGTTACATGTTCTTTTTTCACTTTTTAAATCTTTTTTATAAAAAAAGGTTTTGTTTATATATTTGTTTTTTTTTTGTTTTTGTTTTTTTTTTTCGAACGACTGTTTGGTTTTTCTTCGTTAACTTTCACGATTAAACAGCACGTTTGGATTGCTTTTTTAAGGCGCTCTTTGCTTCTTCTTCTTTCAGCTTGTTTCTTAAGAATCTTATCAACAGAATTTTAAACTTTGCATTAAATGAAGACGGAATTTTAAGTAGTTTCTTTCTGTCAACAGTTTTTGTAGAAAGTTTCAAGAAATTGTGTATTGCAAATGAATAATTATAGTTTGTTTGCTATTTTTGTTTGTTTGTTGTTTTGAGTTTGTATATAAAAAAAAGAATTATACAAAGAAAAAGAACAAAAAAAAAAAACCGGAAAAAAAAAGAAAACATTTAACATGTTCCTTTTTTTTTTTGGCCAAAACGCCGCAAGATTTTCCACAATTTCGGGCCAAACACTTTGCTGACCACAAGCAGCCGACGCCCGGTACAGCTGCTCTTGTTGTTGTGGATGTTGTGGTTCCAGCGCCCGTTTAGCCACTGGCCGTTGCGGTCTCACAGTATTCGGGCAAGTCACCGGGTCGCTGCTGCTGACGCATGCGCCTTTGCAGCAGTAGGCTCTCGCTGGGCGGCGACAGACCTATGCCCAATGTGGGCGGCTCATCCAACAGATGTGGCGGCACCTGCGATGAGTGCGCAAAGCGCCCGGAACCAATGCGCCCAGGCGGCTGCTGCTGCTGTTGATGGGCGCGTTGCAAGCCTCTGGGCTGGTTCATGCCGCAGCTGCGCATCGGCGCATAGACGCAGTCCTGGCGCCAGTTGCGTATCTGCGTGGCGGGCGAATGCTCATCGGATGGTGGCGAACCGCCGCTGCTGCTCCCGGCGCTGTTGTGCCGCTGCTGCTGTTGCTTTACCGCCAGCGGTGGTGCTGGTGTTGGCGTTACTTTGTAGCCAGCGGCACCGCCGCTGTGCGAGAAGCTGCCCAAATAGTTGCGCTGCTGATTGCCATAGTGGCCGCCACCGCCGCCAGTGCTAAATGGTGGACGATATTTGCGAAAACCGCCGGCGGCAACAAGTGTATGCTGCTGCGGCTGCTCCGATTGATGGCTGCTGCGATAGCGCCAGTTCTCTAGCCGCTGTTCGGGCCGTGGTGCTATATAGCGCTGTTGTTGCTGCTGCCGTTGCTTGCGCGTGTAAGCGTTGCAAATGGCAGGTGGCGTGGCCTTAAAACCATTTCCAGTTAGCTTCAGCTCGTGCTCATCATCGTCATCGTCCTCGTAATCGTCATCCTCCTCATCAATGTCGGCGTCCTCGTCATTTTGATATGCATCCAATGCAAAGTAAACATTTCGCTGTTGTTTGTTGGTGTTGCCAGCAGGCAGATGTTGTTGTTGTTCTGTCTGCTGCTGTTGTTGTTGTTTGCCAAAAGTCGTTCGCATTGTTGTCCCCTCAGCTGCAGCTGTCGGCGCTTTCGAATCATTAACATGGTTATTATCTTTTGGTGGGCATGTTGCACTTGCTGCTGCTGCTGTTGTTGTTGTTGCTGCTGGCACTGCCGCCGAGTTGACAACAATATTTGCAGTCTCATAAATTTCAGGTAGCTTTTCATTTAAATCACTAATACTATCCAATAGTTTAACATAATCATCATTATCATCATCATCATTATCGTAATCGTTATCCCTTTCATTGCCAGTTGTTGTTGCTGCTGTAACTGGTGTTGCTTGCTTTTTGTTGCTGCTGCTGTTGGTATTGGTGTTGGTGTTGGTGATTGTAGTAGCACTAATATCACTTGATGCTGTTTGTTGCTTTTTAGCCCCATCAACATCATCGTTCTCCTGCCTCGCCTCATCCTTAAACATTTCTATCTCCTGCGCATTGTTGCGCATTGTTGTTGTTGTTAAAGCAAATTCGCTTTGCTTCGATTTTTCCATATTATCAATAATAAGTTTATCTTTCTTCTCCTCCTCCTCCTCTTTCTCATTATCCATTTTCTGCTCCTTTTCTACTACTTTTACCTCTTCGTTCTCATCAACTTTGGCTTTCAATTCTTTTCGATTGTCAGCTTCCTCCTCCTCCTCATCCTCCTCCTCGCCCTCGTCGTACTCATCTTCTTCAGCTATGTCATCCACGCGCTGCTGCTGCTCATAAAGATAATCATCGCCCTCATCTTCGTCCAGCTCGCGCCAATAATGCTTGTAGTGCTGATAGTTCTCGCCATCTCTCTCCTCCTCTCCCAACTCATAACCTTCATCATCCTCCATCTCGTCGCCCTCAGCCTCGCTGCGGCTGCCATGGCCAATTTGGTGATGTTTCTCCTGCTGCTGTTGCAGCTCACGTTGCTCCTCATAGCGACGCGTCGCCTGTGCCCACTCATCGTCGACACCTTCGTCCAGGCGTCCAAAAGCCTCCAGCGCCTCATCATCATCGTCATCCTCCTCATGCACATTGAGCGTCTTAAAGCCACCACTGTTGTTAAATATGCCGGAGGCATTCCTTGAAGATTGACGACTGAGACTGCTGCTGGCGTTCCGCTGAGCCGTAGACAAGCGGCCGCCATAGCTGGACGATGAGGCGGGGGCGGCGGCGGCAGCAGCTGCTGTTGCCTTGCGCTGCGAGCGGCTGCGTGTGAAATGAGCCGGCGGCTTTGGATTATAATTCTCATCGCTATACGCATCCATGTAGGCCTGCGACGGCTGATAGATATTCGGGCGCTCCTTCATATAATCGTAGCGCATCGAAAAATGCTGCAGGATCACACGCTTCACGGCCATTGCAGACTCGGCAAACTGCGAGATCTCACGCGCAGACTGATGATTGCTGTGGGGAGAGGTCAAGGGATTAAAGTTAATGTATGCTTTCTTTAGTGGATAAGTCGAACCATACCGTCTTATATTGTTGGGCGTTTGAAGCGCCTTATGGCGACCCGCCTGCTTGCTTACTGGTGGCTCCTGTTCGCACATGCGTATCCAATTATGATGGAGCACCGCTTCGGCGCTGAGACGCTTGGAAGCCTGCTTAACTAGCAGACGGCAAATTAAATCTTTGGCCTCATCGCTCACATCATGCCACTCGGCTTCCGGAAAGGAAAAACGTCCTGTGATAAAGGAAAATATAAATTAAAATCGTTTCAAAATTTGTTTAAATTTTTTTGATATACCCTCTTGAATGGACTCAAAAAGCAGCTCCTGGCACGTGCGACAGTTTTCACCGCGATTCCAGCCGCAATCCTCGCCGCAATTGCCTGAAAATGGCGGATAGCCACAAAGCAAAATGTACGCGATAACACCCAAGGACCATAAATCGCAGCGCTTATCATAATAGTTGGCCTCGCCGACAAACAGCTCGACAACTTCGGGCGCCATAAACTCGGCGCTGCCGACCTGTGAATATGCCAAAATCGATTAGCAATCAGGAACAACTATATATATTATATATTAATCCAAGCTAACTCACTGGTGTCATTAGCTGCGGCGTGGCGGCTGGCGATGAAATGTCCGTGGTGAACTTAATACCAGAGCCCAAATCGAAATCACAAATTTTAATTGGGCACAGCGAATCTGTTTTTACGCACAATATATTCTCTGGCTTGAGATCACGATGAGCAATGCCCTTCTTGTGCAGAAAATCTAAGCCGGACGCGATCTCTTTAATGATCTGCGCCGCCTCATGCTCCGAAAAACAGATATGCTCCTGGATACGTGTCAGCAATGGGCCGCCGTTAATTTTCTCAAACACCAAATAGAATTTCTCATCATCCTCGAAGAACTCGATCAATTGCAAGATGCCCGGATGTCCCTGACAGTGATGGAATGTCTCCACTTCGCGAAAGACACGCGCACGCGCATGTCCCGGTATCTTATCGATAACCTTCACAGCATACTCCAGATCGGTGTAAATGTTAACACATGTTTGCACCGATGCATACGCGCCCTCGCCCAGTATTTCGCCCGTCAGCTTGTACAGCTCTAGAGTGAGAAAAGAGAAATCGGATTCCATTACAAAAGATCTTGGAGAATTGTCATATATATATATATAATACTTGCCCTGAAATGTTGACGAGTGCATCGAGGAGCTGATGCGTTTCTTACGCCTCTTCTTTTGCATCTCCTCCTTGTGCCGATTGAGCTCCGCCTGACGCTCCACTTCGGTCATATTGGGCGCTTCGCTTGACTCGTTGCCGGACACATCTTCGCTGCTGTAGCGCGTTAACTCATTCTGACCGTCTGCAAAATGGAAAAATTTGAAGAAGATATTTGTTATTATAAACTCAAGTTTAAAGAAATAACTAACTTATTTGCAGTTAGTCGAGTATTTAGGATATATGATGAAATAGCAGGCGTTCGATCTTTATCTATGATAGATCGAAAATTACTGTAGTTGCTGATTGCAACTGCTCTGCACAACGTTTGAAAGCGAACTGAAGCATTTGTTAAAACTATTGCCGAACTAATTGTAGGTCCAAAAATTAATTTCGTTATGCACAATAAGATATGTTTATAAAAAAAGTTGTTTACACTTTGTTTTATATCACAATGTTTATTATGTATTCTTTTTTATTCACATGATTTACCGATTGCTTTTGATTTTGATTTCTTGTTTATAAAATCTTGCCGATTAGAAACTATAGATGCATATATTTATATTTATTTTTATTTCCTCTCTACTTAAATCTAATTTCAAAAATTTTCCTTCGGTTTCTATCATAATTTGAAACAACGTGTAAACATTTTGTCACTTATTCTGCTATTCAACTCGTCGTGTTTGAGTCACCTTTTTTTTTTTAAAGGGGTTCCTACTCGGCTCGCCGTAGATCGTATCGTAAGAGCGTAACCAAAGATTGTAGGCAGCTGTTTGCAAATGATGACGAAATCCCCTTTTATGGAATTAAAATACCATACGAAATTAGAAATTGCACCATATAATGCTTTGATTTACATATGAAAGAAGCAACATTTTGAATAAATATTTATAAGGGTGTCGGTGTAATGAAGAAACATAGCGAAAACTAGCCGAACGAGAGCAACTTTAGCCACTCAGGTGACAGTTCCGAAAGTATTATAAAAATATAAATAAAAAGAGATTATGTCTGGGAGAGCACAGAATCCAGAATCTAAATTCATTGCTTAAAGAAAACTTTATATTTCACATACACTTTACTAAAAACAATCGTTAAGTCAGCCTTTTTTGCAATCATGAAAATCGCATAGAAGGGCAGCTGAGCTAACGGCAAAAATAGTATTTGACTGTTGTTTTAGTTTTTGTCCTGGGCATCGATTTGTTCGAAGAGGCACACAATCGAATTTGTCTAACATGTATACATATACTTTATAGTGTCAATAATGTCTTTTGCTTAATCATATTTTGCCACTTTAAACCATGTATTAAGACAGAATAATAAAAAAAAAAGGCAAGCAATTTTATAGTTTTCAAATATATCCCAATAAATGCCAGTGTAACTTTCTAAACATCTGTTGCTGCCGTCCATCTCGAAAACTTCAAAGCGTGACACTTTGATTTTTTGCCAAAATAATTATTATCAAGCCTGCGACTTCGTGGGCTGCTAGCGTTAAATCGAGATTCAAGAAATGTTAATCAAATAAGTCAACAAGTACTTATCAAGAGACACAGCTACAACAAAAATATATAGACATGGCCCATTGGGCGGCTTTGGCTTTTGGCTTTGCGCTCGCTCGGCGCACAACAAACACCAATACACATATTTGCGCACATTTATCGGCGACCACTTGCCATATTTGTATGCCTATTTTCAAGTTTTTATCAATGCATAAATGTTTATAAATAAACGGGTATATTGAAAAATAATATACATACATTTATGTATATAGTATAGATAGATCGCTATAGCGAGTACATAATTTCAGCGCAACTGCGTAGAAAGCAAATCGCATGTCGTAAACAAGTCACCACCGATGCAAAAGCGAGCCAGTAAAAATAATAAGAAAAAAACAAACAAAATAAAAAATAAAATATGTAAAATTCAAATAAAATAAATGCTAAATGGGCAGGGCAGGGCACATAACAAAAAGTGTATTAAAAAAAACGAAGGGAGCGGGAAAACGGAAGAGGAAAGCGAGGAGCGGGGCCAGTGACTGAGCAAAGCCTGACAGTAATTATTACAATAATGTTGTTTGTAATGATCATGATAATAATGATAATGACGAAACGAAGGCGACGCATTGTTGAGTATCTATACTCTTGGAAAGGATATTATTATTTTTGCGTGTAGTTTGTAACGCCTCGAATATGTTATGTTATACATATGTATATCAGTATAAATCCAGCATATAGCTGCTATAGGAACACAACAGATTATTTTATCCATATACATAGGTCTTTTATCAGCAATCGATTGATAGTGGAATATTTTCATAAACACCAGCGTGCAAGGGTATTTGAACTTCGGCGTGCCCAAGATAAACGTTCTGTCATTTTTAATTGTCATCATAAACCGGGCACACGAATCGGTTGTGCGTTCGATGTTCTATTTATAGATACCATGGGGCTTTCGAGTCTGTCTGGCCACTTACTTAAACGCGTACAGGCAGGGGGTGGAGTACGGGGAGGAAGAGGAGGAGGGGGAGGAGGAGCAACTGACAGATCGCTGGCCCAGCCAATCGCCAATCTTCAATTGCATTGCAAATGCAAGGCGCAATCAGCAGCATATGCTGTGGAGAGTTCAATGGGGTGTAGTTGAGTTGTGGGCGTAGCGGGGGGGCTGGTTGTCCATTATAATAATAATAAATCTAATGCTAATATGCATTGTTGCATTCTGTTGGACTTTTGATCGCCAGAGGTAGTTGGCCTTTTGCGAGTGGCTCGTGATGTTGTTGCTGAGACACATAATAAAATAAATAAACGACCAGACGAGCCATTCAAGTACTCGAAGAGTACATATGGATACTTAAGGATTATATAGATGGTGTGATGGAATGCTTGAAATAAATATATAAAATAATAAATAAATAATGCACATAATATAAATACTTAAATGAATATGAATGAATAAATATGATTCAAACAGATCAGAGCTTTGCCGTAATTTTCTTCGAAATGAAAAGATAGTTTTTCATGTACTTCAGCTACAGAGCTCATAAGTGATAATTGGTTTTTCTGAAGCTTACTAAATGTATTTGCCAAAGGTAATACTTATCATAGACTAGGTAAAAATTGCTCGATTAGTGTTCACTATTGGAACTTTACTGTCGGAATAATATATAAAGCATTTCCCTTACTGATCAATGATCAGAATTGATATGTATATATAAAAAAAAAAAAAACAAAACCCGCACCTCGAGGCAGCCAAACAATTTTATTATTTCCACTAATCATAATCTGGATTGTAACTACACGTTTTGGATATAAAAAAGAAATTTTCTAAAGCGATCAGTGATCAGCAATGAAATCGAATGCATTCAAATTCTGTTTGCTTATAATTTTACATTCTTTCACTCTTAAGCACGCTTAGGATCAAGCAGATGGCACAGTTCAGCGAAAGGTTTCCCTCATTTTCTATAGATACTGAAGAACTGAAGGCGATCGATCATTCTTATCGCATGCTACATAAATCCAGTTGTCAATCGCATACACGTACATGCCATATTGTATATAGTGTTTTCTTGTGTGACCCAATTTCTTTCTGATTTCATTCTATCGTATACTCTTCCGCCTTCTCGACTGCTGGCAGCAACTATTTCTCTAGAACGCAATATACGCAAGCACCGCAAATACGTTGATAAACAAATACTTTTAAATATTTAGACAAGCTTTCATTTTTCTTTTCTAGATTTTCCGCCTTTTCTTTTTGGTTCCGGTGCAGACCACCCCCCCCTTACGTATCCAATAGTCAATTCGCGGACGTCATTTCAGTTGCTCTCATCGAATGATATTGCGATTATAAAATTCTTCTCGTTTTGTTGTTTCTTTGATTTTAATTGTGTCTCGCCTCGAGTGAAATTTTGGCTGAGAGCCCACCAAAGTCTACATCCCCCGAAAGGCGTCATCCTGCGCTGCCACGCCCAGCGCACACACGTTGCTTGCGCCCACTTGACGCACACACACACACACATACACACATAAACGTTTTAATAGCTGTGGTTATACGGTCCTATCTAAATTTAAATTTGGCCTAATTAGTGCGTTTTTTTTTTATTTCTGTTGTTAATTCTTATCAATTACGTCAGTTGAATTGTGGCAAAAACAAAGACGCGTGCTGCAAGAAATAATAAAAATATATACATATGTGTATTCTTTCGCTTTGATTATATATTTTAAATGCTTTCGTTTATTCCTCGTTTTTTTTTGGCGCCTCTTGTGATATTTTTTTTTTTGCGCATTGCTTTTCGAATTTTTGTGCAAATCATTTTGTTTATTTGATGCATATTTTCTTTTTCTGTTCATTTTCCACACGAACCTGTTTTCCTAACGATTTGCTGTCGTAGGAAATTTAATTATGATAAATTGCCGCCGATTTGTTGCCGAAAAGCTGTTGACAATTTACATGGATTTTCATTTGCTTCGAATGCTTTTGCTTCTGCATTCTTCTAGAAACTATTTAAAAGTACGTTTCCCTTTCTAGAGAAGTGAAATTCATGCTGAAAATTTGTTGTTTCGTTTCTTAGCAGAAAATTATTGTAAATGAAAAGATTCTCATCAAAATCTTCAAATTGTGCAAAAATGTACTATCAATGCTTTTTTATAAATTGAATTAAATGTTATGTGACACGTGCAATAAATAGATGCAACGCTTTTTAATGCGATTAAATCAGAAGCTAATCTTTCGGAAGACATCACCTGATGTCTTTATTCAATCGATTAAGAGACGCCTTATGAAATATGTTCATCGTATTTCATCAGCTTGTTTTTAGTCAAAAAAATAAACACCTCAAAGTTGTGGACATTTTTTTGACGCGACAAAGACAGAGGAGAGAATCATTCGATGTTGCCAGCTTATCTAAGAACCGGGAGAAGCGTTAACAGTTTTGTATTGCTTTTGACCTCTCGCATTACCGATCGTCGAATCACCTTGAGTGAGGTTCGGGAACCCTGTTATATATATAGTATATATACCACGTAAGAGACCCTATTGCGATAAACATAAACGGTTTGTCTGTTTTGTTTTTAGTTTTCGTTATACGTACGTCAATTCGAAGCCGTAGAAAACTGAATCTGAAGTGAAAAACAAGCTTAAAAATAGTTGCTGCTTTTTGCTTTCATCATATTTCTTTCATTCTAAATTCTAGCTTCTAGTTCTTGAGTCAACTTATCTCTGACGTGTTTGCCGGCCGGTAAAGCGGCGACGGCGACGTGGATTGCGGAGCAGGGGCTGCCGAGAGCATATTGAGACTTGAAGCCGTCAGTCGTCGGTCGTACTATCAGGTTCTAGCTATGTCTCAAGTTTGCGGCATGTGCCGCGACTCTATTTAAATTTATTGCGTCGTACTCGCCCAGCTCGCACTGAGCCGCAAAAAAAAAGTTCATTTAAATATTTGTAGAACAGCAGATAAAGTTTTTAAATTAAATAAATAAAGAAAAATCGAAAGTTCGCAAGTTCAGTTGAGAGTGTTTGACTAACGGATACCCTGTACACAGTGAAAAAACTGCTCTAAAGATTTGGACAGAGGTCCTCCTTGATTATGGTTTAATTATAGATTTTTGGAATGGGAAGAGTTGGCTGGATTCAAGCATATATGTGTATACACCTTTGGGAACAGAGTATAAAGTCGAGATTGCTTGATTAACGGATACCCTGTACACAGTGGGAAAACGGTTCTAAACATTTGGGCAAATGTCCTCCTTGAATATTGTTAAAAGTCTAGAATTTTCGATATATACCTTAGGGAACAGAGTAGACTTTGTTGTCGACTTTGTTTGATTAACGGGACACCCTGTACACGAAGAAAAAACAGTTCTTAGCAGTTGGTCAAAGGACCTCCGTGATTATGGTAAAGCAAGAGTTGCCTGGATTCTAGCTTATATACATCAAAAGAAGCAGAGTATCGACTCCAACGCTTTATTTTTCAAATTAAATGAATATATGACACCGTAGCGTGTTCTTTAGCGCGCGTCTACTGTCAACTTCAGGTGGGTTTCTCCCACACAAATGTTTAACTCAACTTACCCATGATAACAAGGTTTTTTTTTAACGCTTAGACAACAATATTATCCAGAGCTCTATGCATGCATATACCCCTCATTCATTTTTTTTTGTTAGGGTGTTTGTTTGCTGAGCACACATAAAAAGTCAAGAGGAAATAAATAAATTGTTTTCTGCTGCTGCTGCTGCTACTGCCATATTTTTGCATTAAATTGCCAGAACAACTCTATAAACAAAACTATGCAACAAATATTTGCCAAGAGATTGAGCCTACGTATACACGTATGGATATGAATATATGTATAAAATGCAAGAATTATTAAACTGCGTTTCAGATATAAGGCCATAAATAGGCTATTAAAAAACAAAAACAACAGCAATAATAACAATAAAATTGCTGTCATGTGTTTGCCCAAGAATTGCAAACTGAAACAGTTGTTGCTTAAGGCCGCGTCTGTTACTTATTTCTCTAGGTAGAACTGATGATGCAACATGTGGCAAGTAAATAGAACATTCTAGTTAAAAGCGAGACGTAGATAATTCATTTCAGTTTAGCCTGGGTTAGGAAACCAACATCGAAGCCAAATAAATGCCAAGAATACAAGAATTATATGACTAAAAAACAGCTACAGATTATTTGAAAAACTTTTCCACACACTACGAAATTCATTTAGTATACCCTGCAGCTATACGGGGTACAGAAAGTATTTACATCTAAGCACATGTCGCTTGATGCGAGCCCCCAGAGCCTATAGGAACTATAGACAACAAATGAAAATAATAATGGGGCAAATAAATTATTCCAAAAACTTGTTTTTAAAAATAGAAACCTTTTTAACGCATAGAAGGAGACATTTCCGACCCCATTAAGTATATATATGTATTCTTGATCAGTATCGAGTCGATACAGTACAATATGTAGGAACCGGCTGGATCGGACGACTATATCATATAGCTGCCATAGGAACGATTGGTCAAAAATCAAGTTATTGAATAGAAAACTTGTTTCTTTTTCGAGATGTATTCACGAAACTTGGTCTGCAAGAGTATTCGGCATGCCGAAGATAGCTCTTCTCTCTCGTTTTACATTTATTTAAGCTTTTACAATAACCCAATTTACTAAAACAGTTAGAAACAGCCTTTGTTGTTTATTAAATTAATTAAATAGCTAAAAAGAACGATTCTCATAAAGAACTCGAAACAAGGTCAGACTCTGAAAACAAGTCACTTAAAAATAAACAAGCAGAGAAGAAGACGAAGTAGTAAACGAAAATAACGCTTGACTAATATCAGCTCATAATATCAGACGATCTGATTGCGCTCCTCTTAAAGCACAAGGCGTCTGCCAATTTTGAATTGAAAGCCACTCCCCCGCCGCCTCTCGTCCCACCGGCTTATCAAAACGAAGCTGATAGCAAAACAACAATCAAAGAGGAACAGCACTATCAAACGAACATAAATTGAAAGCAAATTATGAGAAGAAAAAAACATAAGAACCTTGAAACATTTTAGTTACGCTGCAAGCAAAACAAGTATAAAAAAAAAACATGAAAACAGCAGTAAAGTGCTATAAACAGTAACAACAATAATTAAGAAGAAAAAGAAGTAGCAAGGCAAAATAAAAAGTTGTGTATGAGCCAGAGCGCCAGAGAGCACCGGTACTCAAGATTAACAAAGCGTGGCAAAACGAAAATGAAAAAAAAAGGCAACAGCAGTAAACAAATTATATTGTAGCAAAAAACAATGTAAGCAAAGCAAAAAGATAACTTGAAGCAAGAAAGTTCCCAATTGGAAAACACATGCGGTTGGTTAGATGCGAGAGCGAGGCAGCAAAACGAGCAAAGACCATTCAAAGAGCAAGCTCGATACACGCGCCGCTCTCTTTAGCTGTCACGCTCTTTTGCTGCCGTCGCTCAATCTCATGGCGTGTTACTTCATACGGGCAGCAACAAACACAAATCCACCCAGAAGAGGAAGAAAATTATTGCGCCGCCGAATAAAATTGTAAAAGCAAAAGCTGAATAAAAATGGCGAGAAGTAAAAGAAAAGAGCAACAAATAAGCCGCCCGGCAAAGCGTGTGCGGGGTGCGCTAATATTTGTGAATGTATTTGTGTGTTTGTAAAAACAAAAGCAAACTAAAATGCATAATTATATGAAAAGGAAAATATATAATCACTAACTCATACACACATATGTACCTACAATGAACGGATATTTGTATATTTGTGGCTATGCCTGCCGGCGCAACGCTCAAGGTCGCCATTTCTGCTATGCAGGGGGCGTTAGGGCGCTGCTATGCTTGCCTGCGTGCTTTGTCGGTGTGTGCCAGACAAAAGAGAGGAACAGCAAAAGAAGGCACGCGCTACTGCCTCAACTTCCTCGCTCACTTTATTTACGCCTTCTTCGCCCTCAACTAGACTTTCGTTGAGCATGTTTGCTGCAACGCAATTTCGTATTGGAACGTACAGACTGCTCTGGCTCAACGGGGCTGCTGCGAATAGTATTTCGTAGGGTTGTCAATGTCCGAAATAAGAAAAAATAATTTATGCAGATTCAAAGGTCGTCAAATGCAGGTCCTGGTCTCCAGATTTTGAAATTGAAACTAGTTACACTTGGTAGTAACAATAGAAATTATTTCTAATTTTAATAGTCTTTTTCTTTTAAATCCCCATCAGGTGTTCGTCTGCAGCGATTTCATAGCTCAGCTACCTTGGAACAGAACAGAAAGGCATTAGCCCCTCCAGTTAGGTTATAGTTGTAGTTGCCAAGTACTCTAATTGGAATTGCAAAATGTTGTTTACCGTTTGTTGTACTCATGCATATGCATAGCAAAATATTCACAGGCCATTTATTTTTTTTTTTTTCCTTAATTTTTTATTTTTTCTCGCAAAACAATGGGAGTAGAAAGAGTTGAATATAATAGTAGCAGTAACAAGGAAATGCAACAGCAGAAGGCAGAGCAAATAGCAAATGACTCACACACACACACGCGCAAAGTTAGCGGAAAGGCAACGAATGAAACAAAAGGCAAAACACAAATGCAAAACCGGCATTTTAATCGAACTCTGTTTTAGTGAGCACACTTATTAATATCCCCATACGTATGGATATGGGATATATGTATGTACATACGTATGTATATGTGCATATGTACATATACATATGTATATGTACATAATCTACCACTTAAAGCTTCTTAAATGTGTAATTTTTTGTATTTACCCAACATGTTTGTGGTTGTTGTTTTTGTTGTTGCTGCTGCTGTGCTTTGCTTTTAGCCGCAACGCAATTTATCTAAGCAACGCCCGCTGCTCAGTCAACGTCGCTGCTAGCGTCGCACGTTTTTTGCTACTTTTTTGGCGTAGCTAAAAACTGCTTGTACACTTTTTGTTATGACTGTTGAAGTTATTTTTCAAATTTTTTGTATGCAATTTTAAAAGGCAACCGTCATCTTTAAAGCAACCACAATTCGATATCGAATCGAACGAGTGCTGATGAATGAACGTTGCCGAAAGCACGCGGAAAAACTTTAGTTACTGAATGGTGTGTGGGAGAAGACGACGTGGTTTTTTTTTTTTTGCTTTTTCTGTTGTACTGCGGCCGCTGCGGGAAATAGTATATATGTATATGTGCGCGAATGTGATAAAACCGAATGGTGGAAAATATATAAAACAGAACAATTCTTAAAACACGGACGAAAATGTAGCCGGACTGTCGTCGCGCGGCGCAAACGAGGAAAGAAACAAACACGCGCCGTCGAGCAGTCAGCAGTGTCAGGCCCAGGCCAGGCGGCAGCAGCCGAAAAACTAACTCAACGAGAGAACGCGTCAGAGAGCAGCTGTGAGAGAACAACAGCACAGAGGCAGGGCAGAGCGCACATCACTGCGAGTGAGTGCCAAACGCATTTCTAATAAGAGTATGGGCGAACTGCCCGCTGCCTTGTAATGTAACTAACGGGCAAGGGCGGAGGTGTAGAGCTTTGGAATACTTGTGTTCAGCTTCGTGCTCTTTGCACGTGCCAAAGAGCGAGTTAGTGCACGCTGATGTCGCAAATGTTTGTGCATATTTTTTGTGCTTACGTGACTTTATGACACATGAAGCGGTTTAAGAGATATGCAATACTAACATATGTAAGTACATATTGCGGTTACACTCGTTATGTCAATAAGTACACATGTATATACGTACAATGTACGCAAGCTTTTGCGGTTTTTGTTTACACAATAATTTTAACATTTAAGCCGAATGCAAAAACGAGCAGCCGGAAGCAAAGCTGAGCCGGTTTTAAGAATTTTTGAGTTAGAAATAAATTTGCTTATGAGTCGTCTTCAAGCAAATTGCAGTATCAAATTGGTGATCCCCTGCTCAGTTGGGACCAATAAAAACAATCGAATACTTTGGCATGGAAAGTTTTTCAATTTGATTCAATTTAGAGAATCATTGAATCGGGATATCTAAAAAAAAAAAAATCCACAGCGAAAAAGAGTGAAACTGAATGGCGTATGAAATTTGGCAACATGGCATGGGCGTGTGTGAAGTGGGAAGCGAAAGATGATGGCAGATCGTGTTAAATTTTTAACGAATTTAAATTGCGTTCTATTAAAATAAACATTACAAATACATAGGCAGATCAGAAAAAGAGCGTTAAAGAGAGAAAGAAGGAAAGAGAGCAGCTGACGATAACAGAGGGAATATTAGAGACTGACATAATCGCAGCAGTAAAGCACGTTTTTTTTTGTTTTTGTTTTGGGTTGGCCAAGTAATCACGCGCGAGAGAGCGAAAGGAAAGCCACACCACAGTATAGACGCGCAGACCGACAACCAGCTGAGCCAAAAGGCGACAGCCGCTTTGTCGCTGCAGCTCAAAACACAAACAGCAGCAGCAGCAATAACAGCAAAATAACAACAAAAGCGACAAGTGGTGGCCACAACACAGCCGTACGGTGCAGGACAGAGCGGGCGGATGAGCCGAGCAGACACTGGGAGAGAGAGAGCCCACTCATTGGGCTGCGCATTGAAAAAGACCGGTATGACCACGCAAAAAGCAGACATCGCCAGCAACGAATGAGCGAGTAAAAGACAAAAATGAACAAACAGACACGGCGCTACCACTCGTTCGCTCTTTCTCTCTCTCTCTCTCTCTCTTCCTATCTTTCTCGCACTCTTGCTTATACCTGAATTGATGTGTGCGGCACGCACACAAGCACAACATCACGTAGGCTGCTGACGTGCTGTTGAGGGCAGCGTAAAAAACGAGGTTAACGCAGACATCGACACCACTATATATACAAATACACGCGCACCAATATCGTCGCCTGATGTGCGAATTGCGTTCAAAAACAAATAAGTGGAAGGGCAAAAAGCAAAGCAAAACAACAAAAACACTTCTTTTTAATGGTGCTTTGTTTTCTCAAAAGAAAAAACGACAAAACGAATAAATATGTTTGAGGCTGGGATTTATTTTCCTTTTTTTAACAGTGCACGACAGCAACAGCGTTGCCATATGCACAAAATAACTTTGCAGGGCAGCGTTTACATTTGCATATATGCACGTTGCTTGCGTGTGTGTGTGTGTGTGGGTGGTGGGAGTGGGGGGTGTTTGTAGCAGATGCGTGTGAGAAGCCGCACGTACGCACGCAATTTTTGGGTGCTTGTTGTTTATACAAAACACAACCAGTGTGCACGAGGTTCTTGACAATAATGATGATACACTTTATATATGTATGTAGCTTGTCTGCCACTCATTAGACGTGGCACAGACCAACGCACGGTGGCAATTGGCCAAGCAACCACCCACAAAGTAGTCGTCAAATAGCACATACATATTCATATATATGTACATGCATATGCAGCAACTTTCATTGTTGCTTGCGCGAAAATTGCAAAGTAAATTATCGGCACAGCGACAGACGACGCCTTCGCCTTTTCCCCACCAAATCCCGTTTTTTTCCGCAAGGCGCGTGTATCCAGCATGCAGCTGCAAATTGCTGAATATACACAGCGATTCACTCGCTCCCTCCCCCCACACACACACAGCCTTCAATTCAATTGATATGCATTCAGCTCAGTTAAGGCGCTGATAAACGTGGTTTTTATTGTTTTTTTTTTTCTCTCAGTTTTATTTTGTTTTTTTTTTTTAGGTTTGTCATCATCAACCTCTGCCGCCGCTGCTGTTGCACTAGTGGCAGCGCAGTCGCTACACGTCAGCAGACGTTGGCTCGAACTCGGTCAGCGTTGCTAGCAGAGAGCGGGCGGCCGCAGCGCTCATCGCTTTGTCTTTGTTCGCATCGTTCGTTCATTTTTGTTTGCCCGCTTGCTTTGGCTGTCGTTCTATTTTGGGTTGCTGCTGCTCGTTGCTGCTGCTCGTTGCAGCGCCAAAGTGCAATAAACGTCATCAAGGTTATGCGCTGTCGCTGCGCTGCTCGCGTCGCTGTTGCAGTTGCTGTTGCAGTAGCTGGTTGCCGCAGCGCTAGTTTCGCTTTACAGTTTATTAACATTTTGATCCGTTTTCATTTGTTAAGCTCTTTGCGTGTTGAACAGCTCGCAGAGTGAATCATTTTGTATTAATTGCCTGAGCACTCAGCTAAGATAGCCATGCATATGGCCGTCTCGCTTGCACGCGTTCAGCTCATTTCTCTACATGTATGTGCTTCACAAAAATGCAAATGAATTTTGTTAATTTGTCAATTCCGGAAATAAGCTTCGGCGCGCAGCTAGCCCAAAAGCAACAACAATAATTCATTTCACGCTGCCTGCCCACACATCGCCGCATCCCTACCTCTTACCCCCGCCTCAACCACTTTCAGACAGACTTGATAGGCAACATTCTGGGAAGTTTCTTCGCTTTTGCCTGCGCCTCTCTTCTGAGGGCAGCTGTTTATACGTGGTGCGCATTTCCTTCCAGCTGTTCGCAGACCTACGAGGCAGAGACAGGGGGGAACACATACTCTATCTTATCGCTGGCACTCTTTAATTTTCTTTTCCCATGCTCATTGCACAGATAAGCCAATGGTTTATTAATTTTTGAATATACGCGCATTTGGTACTTGGAAGAAGGATTCATTGAAGTGGGACTGTTTCGATTGGTGCCCAAGAGATAAATGCAGAGGCCTTTAAAAGCTAGTGCAAGAGAGTCCAATGTTCTTTAGATAAGAACAAAATAAAATGTAGGATACAATAAAATATTACTCTTATAAAGCAACATGAAGGCAAACAATGCTATATGACAAAAATATTATGCCAGATTTGGAAAATGTTGGCTTGGAAAAATGTTGCCGAAGAAAGATTTTCTCTTCCAATAATAACCATATTTTGTACATAAAAGAAAATTGATCTCGCGCAAAACGTACGAATAACATTACAACTGGCGAGCCTCCATTTTCTTTTTACATTTCTTATTCATAACACAGATCTTATATATTCTACATTAAGGTATTTATTAAGTGATGCAAGCTTGTTATTGACGTCGCAAAGTTCATAAAAGACAATCAGGAACGACACGTGTTTGGATTATATATATACATGTACGTAGTAAATTTGTATATAATTGTTTATTTTTATTTAATTTAATAGAGGCGACTGAGGTCTGGAAATGCATGACATAAAGACGCGACTATTATTCAAGCAAATCAAAATGATTATTGTCGTTAAAACATTTATAAGCGGGACTTGCGGTATTTGTTGCCGTAAGACCGCAAAATATGTGGTTCCCGAAGGTTATTGACTAGGTAACAGTTTATGACCCAAAATTGTTTCTTAGTTGTTCGACTTCTCTACTTCTTTTTGTAGAGAAATGATATGGAATGAGGCAAACCGAATTTTTTAAACAAATTATCAAATGCCAAAGCTGGGACAAATTCGTACGCATTTTAATAAGCTGTGACCCACTGTAGATGCGTAATTGCTTACGAATAACGAGTGATAGGTTTGCGCAAATCAATAGCTGACGTGGCACAATTGATGGGCAAATTAATGAACTTGTTGCCGAAAATTGTATGTGCGGGATGGATATACCCTACAATCCATATTCACATTTTCTAATGTCAAAGACCTCATTTGCTAGAAACGTGTTAGCAATTCTTAAAAGCAGCATAGAAAACTCTATTCAATGGTCTGTTGCCAGGGGCCTCAGCTGTTTGAGCGCAGCACTAAAAATATAGCATGAAAATGTATGCGTAATGGAAATGTGAACACACACGCACACTGATGCAAGTGCATTGCGTTTCCAGAACAATTTCGAACTGAACAATAAGAAGAAGAAACAAGTGGCAGGCATTACACAAACAGGGGCATAAAAACGTAACAGAACGTAACAAAAGAAGAGGCAGAAAGGTGGACGGCACACACACGCACACACACACACAAGGGCAACTAACACGCAAGGTAAAGGGATGAAGGGCGCCGCGCTCTTCAGTTATGCGTCTATCTCTCTCGCTCCCTCTCACTCTGTTCATGTGCGTGGCAACGAGCGGCAGCTGCAAAAAGTTTCAATGCACAGTGGCTACAAAACCACTTAAAATGTAACGAAAAAATATGTACATAAATACATACGTTTACTGACAAGGGAAAACCAAAGAGCACGAGAGCGTAAGAGTAGCAAAAAAGGAGTTAAGATTGGAGAAAAAAATAACTTGAAATTGAACACTCACCTGATTGACTTTGGCTGTAGCTGTTGTCGGTGTTGCTGCAAGAGACATTGCTGCCGCCTACGCCGCTGTCTGCGGAGCCGCTAGCGTTGTTGTTTGCGCTGCTGCTGCTGCTGCCGCAGCCGGTGTTGCGTCGCAGCGACGCAAACTCCTTGGCAGCAGCTGTGCTGGTATTTTTCTCCTCCAAAATGCGCTCAACCATTTTTTTGGCCTTTCGGTTTTTTCCCTTAAACAATTGGCACTCACACAGTCTCTCTGCTTCAATCGCACAAGCAAGCAAATGCACGCACTGCTTTTTGTTTTGTTTTAATTTTTCCGGTCTAACAGCTGCAATGCTTGGGCCTGCACCTCCTCACCGCTCTTACTCGACGCTAATAAGACACAATGTTGACGTCAACGTCGCTGCTGCGCTGTGCTCTCGCTCTCTCTGCTGCGGCTGCGGCGTTAGTTGTTGTTGCTGCGCTCATTCAAAATGGTGGCTGATGAAAAGATTTTTCTGCTGCTGCTCTGCCAAGAAATGATTTGAATTCTAGCTACTGCAGTTGATGTTGCTGTAATTGCAGTCGGCGTCGTTGCGAATTGCGCAGCAGCATGAAAAAATGTTTGAAGGAAAATTTAATTTGGCAATACAATTTTTAGCCACTGTTTGGCAGCTGCTGCTCTGCTGGCGTTGGCTGCGCTGCACTGTTGTCGGTCGGTTGTTGGTAATTGTGGTTGTTATTGTTGGATTTTCTCATCACATCGGGAAAAGCGAGCAAAAAATTGAATATTCCTTCTATTTTCAATTAAAATGAATCTGCTTTTCACTTTTCCTTTGTGGGGGCTTTCTATTGGGCTTTGATAGTGGTTGCTGTTATTGTAGTTGCAAAAATTTGATAGAATATTGCAAAATTGCTGTTGGTTATTGCCTGGGACTGACTGTGGTGGTGTTTGGTCGTTGTAGCTGTTGTTAAAAATTTTCTGCTGATTACAACACAAAAAAAATCGCTGAAATAGCGGACAAAAGCCGTTTTCTTTGCGTTTTTCGCTTTAAATTATCTCTTTTAGCTACCGATCCATTTTTTAACGTTCGAAGATGATTTCCGACTGACTAAAATTAGCGATGCACCGTGGAACAAATATCGAAATATCGATATATTTTTCATTTCACTACTACATTTGCGATATTTATTCACTGAGGTACTCGATGTATGCATGAAAACGGAAAAAGTGAATTTACAATTATGTTAGTAGAACAAAATGCATTCTATTTTAGTATTGCTATTAGTTATTTAATTTTATGTTTTGCTAACGTGCTTGCTATTTGGCACTTAAGAAACAGCTTATTATCGATTGCATATTCTGTTAGCTGAGGAGCGTGCACTCTGTTAGGTGTGGAGCAAATATGTTAAGTGGTTAGCAAACGTTAAGCCGCCTTAATTTCCCGCTTACCAACACACACTTAACGCGTTTTGTATTTAAATAAATAAAAAAATCGCACAAACAATCAAAATTGCAGTATTTCTTAAATTTGAAGCAAAAAAACGGTGCTTCTCTGGTATATCATTTTGTAGCTATGACTTTAACCGCCCCCCATTTTAGGCTCCGCCCTGTGGGAGGTGCCAAGCACCTTACAACCACCAATCACATTGTCCAGGACTTGCTGCAAGCGCATTTATCTAATGCGCCTGCGTAGATCAACAAAACGTCCAATTGAAAATCTGGTTTGAAACAATTCGACATCAAGTCAAGTGTTTCCAAAATTTAGTTTCTTTTCGCTTGGCATTTGCAGCGCTACCAAAGCCAACGGTCGCAACTTTTAACAATTATCACTTTGAATTGAATCCTTTCTGCTGCAATGGCCGATGATAGTGCGGTGGTTGGGCAGGTTAACGCGGCCAAGCGGCCACGTCTAGCAGCCGGCTCAAAGTCGGCGAAACCCATCGAGACGCAGCTGGCCAAAGCCTCGAATCGGGTGCCCAAGTGCGCCCGTTGCCGCAACCATGGCATCATCTCGGAACTACGCGGCCACAAAAAGCTCTGCACCTACAAGAGCTGCAAGTGTGCCAAGTGTGTCCTGATCTTCGAGCGACAGCGCATTATGGCCGCACAGGTGAGCTGTTGCAGAGAGAAAGTGAAGAGTGCGAGTATCGTGAATGTTATTTATTTATTATAATAGTATATACAAAATATTAACTTATTGTTACATTTAACTCGACAAATATTTTAGGGCTTAAATGAATTTTTAACAGATCTTAAATTAGGAGTTGACTCCAATGTCTTCCCTAAGGCAAAGTTTGATTTTTTCTATTCTTTGTTGTTACGCGTTTTGCACATTGATTGCTGTAATATTCAGCTTATTCAACAAATCTTCAAACTATTCACTTGTAACCTTGGAGTAAATGAAACCTCTTGTTTGCCCCAAGCCGACAGCTCCTGCTATAATTATACGCTTGTTAACTCTTGCAGCCTTAACTGTATACACTATCATAATTCTTATCAGACGCTTCGCACATATTAATAGTTATTCTATTAGTATTGTCTTTGGATTAACCACCACAATGTTCTAATTTCAAAGATAAACATGCCACTGGCCAACTGCCTCTGCCCCTGCCCCTTTTTCTCTGCTCCCGGCGAGCAAATGCAAACAAATGAAATACGAAATGCTGTCTAGATTTGGGCTAAACTTCTTCTGGTCTCGGACTTGGTGAATAATGAGGACGATGAAGATGATGATGATGATGGAAAGTTGTCAAAGCGTACGAACAAATCGAGCTAAAATATCCGCTTACCAAATGTTTGCACAACTGTTGCCAGGGCTCGCATTACATTAGGGGGAAATGAACTGGGCGAACACTGTTCCTAAATTCACATAAATTGAAGTTTTGAAATCGTTGCGTGCTTTTTACTGCCTTGCATAAATCAAAGCTTTTCAAATCAATTTTGTTTTGTGTAAATATCGTTAGTATTTTTTTTCTAGGGCTTAATTAGATTAAGTTTAATTTAGCTTAAGCCTTGAGCAGCTTTTTAATACAAACTTAACTGCTTTCCATGAGCTTTAAACAGCTTTTAGGAAACAGCTGCTAAAAAGTTAAAATATCAAAACTTATAAGCAGAAAACTTCACAATTTTTTAGAGTTGTTGCCCTATAAAAGACTCAGAAGCTTATTTTGAGCTTTTACTGCGCTTTTTTAAATACTGTAAATACTTAAAATCTTACCTATTTTTTTAATATTACTAACCTAACACTAAAAAAGAAAAAGGTTAGGATTAGCTTTAAGTCTTTCCCCTAAAAAAATCGTATTTTGATCTTGTTCTTTGATCTTAATCGTATACTTGAGCTTTTAACAAGCTTTTAATTGAAATAAAAACTTCAATACAAAAAGGATAAAACAAAAGCTTTTATAGAGCTTTTAAGATAATGGACTAAATGTATCTATTGATTTATATTTAACCACATAATGTGCTTGCATATTTGACAGCGCAGCAAGCTTAACTATTTCATTCCCTTTTTGGGCGGTTTCTGTGTTTGGGAACACCCTGCCTCGATGCGGGTGTGATACCCAAAGGAATTGCAGATGTTTTTGGCCGTTTGGCGCTTTGTTTTGTTTGTCTGTTTGCTGCACGCAAAGTCAAACAGAGATTCGGGAAAGTCGCGTCCAACACTTGTCGCATATTAATTTCAATCGGCATTTGGCCATTCGCAGGTTGCCCTCAAGCGCCAGCAGGCGGTCGAGGATGCCATCGCGCTGCGCCTGGTGGCGAATAAGACGGGCCGCAAAATCGATGCTCTGCCGCCGGGCAGCATCTTTGGACTGACCGTAACGCAGCCCAAAGATCAGGCTGCAGCAGCACACAGTCCACAGGAGGCACCGGAGCAGCAGCAGCAGCAGCCAAAGCCAGTTGTTGCGGAGCCCGAAACCTTGGCAGTGGCCCAGGATCTGAGTGCACCACGTCGCGAGATCGTCTCCCAAACGGCGATTGATATGCTGGCGCAGCTATTTCCACAGCGCAAACGCTCCGTGCTGGAGCTGGTGCTCAAGCGCTGCGACCTGGACTTGATACGCGCCATTGAGAACGTCTCGCCGCCGGCGGAGCAGACGCCGGCCGAGCTGTTGCCGCCGCCGTTACCGCAGCCCCCGTCGCTGCCCTTGCCGCAAGCACTGCAGCTGGCCATGCCGCCGCGCAGCAGCGCCTTCAGGCCAGTCATAGCTGAACAGGTGAGCCGCTGCAGCAATTACCAACTTTCCCATACTCTGTTCACGAATCAGAAAGTGTATTTTGGGTTTGTATCCGTTCGACTCTTAATTTGGAATATACATACATACTCTCATCTTTAATCAAGAAGATTAGACCTATTTAGTAATGGGTATATATAGAATACGAAATTACAATTACGCATACGCAGAATAGGTTTCTAGTTTTTGAATATCTTTTCTCCAAACATTGATAAATATCGATTTTTGAAACTATGTTTAAATATATCTAGGGAAATATATGGGCTAGATGCGGTATGCATCTACTTATGCCAGAGAGAGAGAGAGAGAGAGAGAGAGAGAGAGAGAGAGAGAGAGAGAGAGAGAGAGAGAGAGAGAGAGAGAGAGAGAAAGAGAGAGAGAGAGAGAGAGAAAGAAAGAGAGAGAGAGAGAGAAAGAGAGAGAGAGAGAGAGAGAGAGAGAGAGAGAGAGTGAGAGAGAAATTCCGAATCTATGCACTCGAATAGTTTATATGTTTATGTTGCATGTGAGTTCTTGTCTCCGAGTCGGAACGCCTTGACTAGATAAGTTACACAGACGCCGTGAACAGAGTATTGCGCAGTCGGTTCCAGTCGACTTGCAACGTTCTTCATTGTTAAGTCTCCAGTTTGCATTGCTATTGCAGTATGCAGCAAAGGCCTCGTCGACGGCAGCCGCCGCCATTTGCGCGTATCCCAAGTGGTTTGTGCCGCTCTCCTTTCCCGTCACCATGGGCCACCTGTCCAACTTGGCGCCGCGCTGCAACCTGCCCAACTGCAACTGTTTGGAGAGCTATCAGTTCCACTAACCACAACAACAAAGCAAAAATTATGCCAAAATTAATTAATTTATTTAAAGTAAATGTAAAGCAAAACTTAAATTAAATCTTTGTTGTATTCTGGTTGGCTACGTATCCACCTGATGCGAATCGTCCTGCTCCTCCTCCTCGTCATCGTCCTCGTCTTCATCTGCCGACAGGTACATGCGATCCTCGTCTTCACTGTGCGCCTGCTGCTGTGCCCCTCTGCCAGTCCCCGTTCCCGTTGCCGTCGCTGCGCTGCTGTTCGAAGTGGGCGTGGCTGCTGCGCTGCCGCTGCGTTTGGTCTGATTGGCACGCCGCCATTTGGCGCGCCGATTCTGAAACCAGGTCTTCACCTGGCGATCCGTCAGCTTCAGCTGCAGCGCCAAATGCCGTCGCTCCTCGGGCGACAAATACTTTGAGCTGGAGAATCGATTCTCGAGATTTTTCGTCTGCTGCGACGTGAAACGGATTTGTCCACCTTTGCGCTTCACCCCGAAGTTCGACATGTAGAAACTGGCGCCCGGATAGGCCGCATTGCAGTAGAGGGCAGCGGCAGCGGATGCGGGATTGCTGAAGCCTGGAGAAAAAGTTTGGCCACATAAATATCAAGGTAAATCACAAATTGCAGTCTTATTTAAATGGCAACTTTTTTTTGCCCGTATAACCCTGTAGAGGCTGTTATAATTTGGTCAAAAAATGTGTAACGCATGGAAGGAATCGCCTCCGACCTGATCAGCCGAGACGTGTCCGTCTGTCCGTCCGTCCTCCTGCCTGTCTATCTGTTTCTATGCGAACTAGTCTCTCAGATTTTATCTTTCATTTGGGCGTCTTTCTGCTGCAGCCTGGATCGGACTACTCTATCATATAGCTGCCAGGGGAACGATCCCTCGAAAAATAGGTTCTTCTAGGGAAAATATTTTTGTCAGTTTGTCAGTTTCAGTCTGCTCCTCATATACATATATGCAAAATCTCATCAACATCGGACCACTATATCATATAGTAACAATCGTTTGAAAGGAAGGCTCTTCTAAAATAACAAAGTATTCTGTGTTGCAGGATATTTTTTAGTCGAATTCAGCATTTAAAGCTTCAATATGTTTACATAGCTGCACAAGGCAAGGGTATTAAATCTTCGGCGTGCCGGAGATATATAAACTTTCTCGTAACAAATATTTTACATATTTTTTATTATTTAAATGTATATCACATTTTCTCTACTCACGGGGGAGTTCCATTGGGAATACATTTTTGCAAATTTTAAAATTTCATTTATAACTAACTTAAATCTTGATATGAATGTGTTCCAATTTTGTATGCACCTATGAAAGCTTTACGTTTAAATGTAATAAAAGTAGAGCGAAATTTTCCGAGGCTTTTGATTGGCTGCCTCGCCAGAGTTTAGTGCGTCTCTTTCGCACACCCAGAAGGGCCGTCGGCCGTGTTATTTCACCCACTCTGCACGCATGGCAATGGGCAATGGCCACGCCCACCAGTAAATGGAGACAGCGCCGCTGGGAACTGGCTGGAAACTGGCTGGGGCTGACGGCAATCGAGAAAGAATCAATTGCCATAATTGTTATCGCGGGGGCAGCTGGCCAACAACTAATTCGATTGTATATGGGCTCGCATAATGGAAGAGTGTCGAGTGGATGGCGTGATAAGGTGCCTAGGTCCAAAATTCGTATCGCTCCCGAGCGAAAAAAAAAAAAATGCCAACTGTCGGGCTGCAAACGGAAATTCGCACTCACAATTCTAATTAAACGGAGACAACTTTATGGTAGAGAGCACGACGCTGAGATAACTATCCATACTTAGAGCGACTGAGCTCAGTCCATGGGGAATATCTGCACGTATAAATTGAAAACATTCGAACTGGAAACATATCGTAAAAATTAATAGCGCTTGCGATTTAATGTCATAATTTAAATTGTACAAATACAATTATTAACGTTTATTTTTATTAAGTGGCGTATTGCGCGATAAGCCCTGAAACATGGAACCAACACCCCTCCCCCCACTTGTGGTTACTTTTTTGATTTTTTTTTAGATATTTGTTTTTTTTTTTTTTTTTTTTTTGATTTCTTGCACTTGAGAACAATTTGTTGTTAATCGTTCAAATATTGAATGAAGAGGCAGCGACACTTGTGCCCAAAAAGAAAACAAAATAATATTGAAAATGGAATTGAGGAACCCGTTCGTATATACAACAGCGGACGCGCCTATCTCAATCTAAATCGAATGGCAATTGTCGCCAGAAGATGATGGACAGCGCCTATTAATCGCCACTAATAGCATTTTTTGTTCAGATAAGCCCGAAAATATGGTTTTACCACGGATTCGGACACGAATCGCACTTGCTCTGCTTGTTAGGGAAAGAAGAGTGAAAATAAGTTCAGTATTATAAAAAATACTGAGTAAAAATACTAAGTAAAAGAAAAAATAGATTTGAAAAGATCAATAATAAGAATATGATTACCAGGTAGGGGAGAAAATAAAAAGTATATTTTAAATACAAATCAAGCTCTTCTCATTAGTTTAATATTATGAAAAATACTGCGATCCTAACGAAAAAGTAAAACTATATTTTTAAATACAAATCTAGCCGCAAGTCAAGATCTTGATATAAGTAAAAATATTATCAAAATATTCTCTTTGTGAGGGAACAAAATACAAAATATATATTAAAAGCCTTACATTGATTCAATATTATGAAAAATACTAAGTAAAAATTTGAAGTAAGGAGAAAAGTACAACATATATTTTTAAATACAAATCAAGCTTCTCAGTAAGGAAAAAGCGTCAAAAATATATTTTAAAATACAAATCAAGCTTCTGATCCTAAATACTAGTTCTGTGTTTTATCTATATTTAACACAATATATATATTTATTCATTAAATATATGAATTAAGATTATATTCATTCTTATTTAACACGCAAAAGCTTTATTTAACGAATAATTCACCTTGTCTACAAATTTTCAAAAGTATTTTTGTATTTTTTTGAGATGATGCGAAATTTAAAAATGAAAAACTAAAGAGTTACTGAAAATCATTCCTTAGGCTTTATGCACCTGAGTAACGAAAGTTTCAGCAATTCCCATAACAAAAGATACTGTGGCTTAGAGAACAATAAATTCGAAATGGGTTTGAGCCGCGGCGGTTCGAACTCGGAACTACAACTTTGCCTTTTACTATGAACAAAATCTTAGCCGGAATCAACTACCGAAAACAGCCGAACCTAATTCAATATCACAGAAAATAAAACATCTGAAGCCTGAACCTAATCTGAAAAAAGGAAAAATATGACAAGCCAAGATTTGAACTGGGAAAAAACATCATGAACCCAGCTTCGAAAAATGTGACGAACCAAGATTTGAACCCAAGCTTGGATTTATTATCTATAAAGGCAAGATACATACTTTGTTTTTTAAAAACACATTATTTAGTATGAATAGGGAAAAATATTATCTTGAAAAAATATCTTAAGCCTGTATCTAGCCTGTAAAATTTGACGAACCAAGTCTCGCAGCAAAACTTAGATTTATGAAAGAGAAAATGCCCGAAACTTTGGGTTTCTTATAAGCCTTTTCATTAAAATAATCTAAAGTTCTATTGAAGATTATTGAAAATTTCTTACGATAAATACAGCGTCAGTTAGGCTGGGAACGGTAAACTTAGTGCGCCCTAATCCACAGAATCAACATATATGTATATATTTACAGGGTGTCTCTGGAACAGTCTCACCCAAGGAATGCCATATTACTTTAGCTGGGCCATTTGCTTGTCTGGCTCTCACCTCAATTTCAAATATTTGTCATTGTGATAAGGCTCCCGAAAAATAGTGCGTGTCATATGAGAACGACAAGGGCCTTCGGGCTGTGGGGGGGAGTGCAAGGGATCGAGCGTAGTTGATCCATATGCCAGACGACGGGCTAATCTGGCCGAACACATTGCACTGGGAACTGCACACAGCAGGAGAGGGAGCTGAGAGGGAGTGGGAGAGGGAGAGGGAAAGGGAAAAGGAACTTCAAGTGGCAAGCGTTGGCGCCAACACTTGACTTTGACAAACATCGATGCACATTAATCATGTGTTGGGGGCAACTGGTAATACCATAATATTTAATGCGGCTAAAAATGTTCGAAATGCATTTAAATATGCGACTTGCTTTTGAATACTCAATCAGCAAGGTCGTTGCGTATTTAAATGAAGCTAGTTTGATGGATATGGCGTTGGGATTAGTTCTTAAGGTATTGGGGGGCTTTATAATGCCAAGTTCGTTGACTTGAACTTGGGCAAGTCGACGCCCCAGAGCCAGGAGCCGGGCATGTTTTCAGCTCCGATCTGAAATGATATTCCCACGAATTATTTTTCGTTTATTTTTGTTTCTTCTTCCTCCTAGCTTAATGCAATGGAATCAAAAGTTTTTGAAGCGATCAAAATTCCTTTTCTCAATATCTTGAGCATTAGAAATTACGATTTGAGCAAATGTTAAATGATTTTCTTTACATGTTTTCAGCTCTGATCTGAAATGACATTCCCAGTAACTGTTTTTCGTATATTTTCATTTGTTTTTCCTCCACATCCTAGCTTTATGTAATGGAATAAAAAGTTCTTGAAGCGTAAAAAATTCCCTTTCTTAATATCTTTAGCATTGGGTTCCAATAAGTAAGTTTTCAACACATGCTAAATGATTTTCTTTATCAAATTGGGCAAGTCTTATTAGATATTATAGTTGGACTTTTACCCGCCTAAGTTATTAATTATGTATTTATATCGCTCGTTCATTATGGGTGCTACGAATGCCCTGACTCACATCCGGTATTTCATAACCCTGCATGATCGAATGATACCTTTTTAGTAGCCATTTGTATTAGCACCTCTATAGAATAACTTTGGACTTTGGTAGTATACTATACATGCAGTCATTATTATATTTTAAGTATTTGAAATATTATTATTATTTTTTTTTTAATAGTATTTAAAGTAAAATCTGCTACAGATGTAGTACAAGATCTATGCAAAGATAGAACTATGTTCATTTATATAAAATTAAATATATAAAATTAAAAATTTTAAGCTAATACTTGAGACAGTAACCTCTAGATAATACTAGAATGAGGTTTGAATTATTAATCTAACTATTTATTTTATAGATTGGAAGAAAGATTAATTACATCTGCTTGTACTTATCCTCAAAGAAGTTATAGATAGCACGAACGGTTAACTTATGCCATTAATAATTTCCTTTAAATATCTTGTCTCAATTTTAGCTTTTCATTTTAATCTTTAAAGAACCATAATTTCTTTGATTTTTTCAGAATTTCTCAAAATTCGGCTATTAATTGTTAAAATTCAGTAATTTTTGCTCCAAGTCCTTGAGTTTCTCAAGTTTCTCAAGAACTGTTCTGATATTATACAAGTACCCGCTATAAGAATGATCTCCATACTTAGATATATGACATGAGGCGCCAAATATTATAACAAATATGTTCCTCTTCAAAAGGAAAAATTCCCAATATCTTCAATTGATAGTTCTTTGCTTTGGTCTAAAATCATGAGTATTAAATTCTCCCCTGATATTATAGTTAATCTGAAGCATATATTCTCATAAATAGCTCACCTTCACAATCCAGAAACGGGCTGTACTGATCACAATAGGCGCCTGGCTGTGCTGCCGCAGCGGCGGCCACCGCGGCGGCCTGAAAGTGGGGCATGAAGAGCGAAGAATTCTTCTGTAGATTCAGCATTTGCTGATAGAATAACGAGGCGGGATCTGAGTAGACGGGATTGAAGCGCAGCGTTGTCGGCGTCAGCAAAGTGCCCGTGCCGGGCTCCAGATTCTTGAGGGCATATTGTGCGGCCATCGCGTCGCGTGACAGATCGTATATGGACGTTGGACCGGATGTGGGCGCAAAGCCCGTGGCAGGACCTGCGGCGCCAGGACTCAACTGTGTTGAAGGTTTTTTAATGTTCCCTTGTGTGGCTTGTGTCTTATGCTCCAGAATGTTGTCTATGGAGAAGGCGGACCTATTCGCTTTAATTGTGTTGTTATCCATGTTCTTGTTTTGCTATTGCTGTTGCTGGCGATCCAACAAAGAAACAAGCGCCGGACAACGGTGAGAGGTGACGCGACTTGAACGGGCGCCGACGATGAACTAATTGCTGGCCGTTCGCAGGGTCCAATAAATTGTACTAAATCTGATTTCACAGAATATAATAGATTGTACATATACATATAATGTTGTGCTAATGGGTATTGATATCTATATTAACAATAATATAACCGACCCTATGTAGATACGCATGTACATAGATAATGAATGGGGGGCTACTATCATCGATAACGTCGCCGTCGCCCCGGTAGGCAGCCCCGATCTGGCCCGATGGCCCGATGGCTCGTTGACTCGGCCCTCAGTAGTTGGCAGTCCAATCGAGCCGATCCACCAGTCATATAAATCAAAACACTCGGGGCTTATTAAACACACACACACATGCACACGCACGAGCATTGCCAACACTGGCTGCGGCAATGTGTTGCCATCTCGCTCTGTGTATGGCCATCTCAGTTGCACGACAATATTGTCGGTACTTTTGATCGAGTAATTGTTAATCACCCGCTTATCAATATCGCTCGGACGTCGTTGTTTGTCGTTTGAATCCCGTTGTTCTCATCCTCAGAGCACAACTACTGTTCGTTTTGCTATATACCCTGTAATATAACCAGAGGCTGGTCTGTGCTCTGATAAGAATGTTAGTTCCGAAAAATATTGTATTTATCCATAAAATATACTAATGGATGCCGAGCGTTTCGAATTGATATTAAGTTAAAATGAGCACCAACATATATTTCAAAGGAATTTTCCTTTCATTCATTTGTTTACAGTACTGTTTTTAAGTGTTAGAAATTAAGCAATTAGTGTACTAAAAAAGGCGAAAACAAATACTGACACGTTACGTTACGTAAAAAAGAAAAGTTGTTGCGTCTCTGCGTCTATTAATCCTTACTTCAGTTATTTATAACAGTTCCACTTTAAATTTATAGTTCTATTGTGTATCAATGTGGATTAGCTTCTTCTTAAAACAAGTATTATACTATACGATCTCAATATTTTGACTTTGATATTTTCCGAGTGCATCCAAGTTCAACATTCTACAGAGTAACATGTAGTCGTGCAACAGCCCTGCAATCACCCACACTCTCTGCTCCCATGCGCTTATTGTAGTTGTAAACAAATTAAAATTACCAATAGGCTCTCACCGGGTGGCTGCCACCTCCCCCGCAGAACTTTCCACGAACCGCTGCGATCCACAAATGTCGCTTTTGATTGAGTAATCGACTTGCTGCTATGATTTGAGCCCTCTGGTTAACATTTCTGTATTTTTGGGACTTTCGAAACAATTTATGCGTTTATACAACTGCTGTACGGTGAGGCACACAGGGGGGGGGGGGGGGTCTCTTATCAGACGGGGTAGTCGGGGTCCCCTTAAAGCCTCTGAGATGATGGATTACTTTTGATTTTAGGCATTGGCGTTCGCGATAAATATACAAAATAAATGCGCCTAATTGTTGTTATTGTTATTTACTCGCTACCTGAGCGCGATATTGTTTTCAGGTCGCCGTTTGTATCTTTTAGATACGATACGATATTATTCCCCTTCTGGTAACATTTTTGTTTAATTTCCTTTATGTCTAACTGTCTTTAGCTATCGTATGATATAGACCTACCCGAATACAACATATAAATGTTCTAAAGAAAAGAATTTATCTGATTTCCACAAAAGTATCACGATATTGAGCGTACTTTAACGTATCCAATCAATTCCGATAAGCTTCTAGTTCCGGTAAATAATAAAAACCGACTAACCTCGTATAACCATAAAAATTTCTCTATAAATAACAATAAGCTATTTTTGATTACCCGACGGGTTTTTTTTTTGTGACATTTTTGACTCAAATTCGGCGAAAGATAATCAAATTTGGTGATTCAATTGGTTCACATGAAAAAAAAGAAGGTAATAAAAGACCAAAAATCAGGTAAAAGAAGAGGCACACGAGCAATTGATAAACAAATTTTGAAATACTTGCCAGTTTATCGCAAGCATGATAATTTTATTATTTAATTCTTAATGTTATGAATGAGCCCGAGCATGACAATAATATTTTGATAATATGGTGCTATCAAAACTGAAAAAGTTCCATTTAAATCCACCCACAGGCAACATAGAATGGCCTTTAATGTTTGTAGCTTAAATATTTTGTATTTTATCAGTAGAAGCTAGATAGATGGTGTTCCCATTTCGAGCAAACGTACTAATTTAAAAAGTCAGTGCTGTAAAATGTTTGCTTATCTCGTTTACATGCGCCCAAATGTATGCTTTGTTTTTTAAAGCAGTTAGCCGAGTGGAAAACGTTTTTCTCGTAGATCATATATCTATTTACTTTAGTAAGCTAAGCTTGTATTTTTCATGTTCCTGTCACAGTCAACAGCTACTTTGAATTGTTAAACTAAGTTTCGTAAAAGCTCGTGTTTGACTCTAATTACTATTAAGCTCATTCCCATGTTCTTATCTAGTTTCACAAGTTGATCTGCCTGTCAGTGCTTGGCTTAAGAGTTGACAAGCAGATAGCCTTGCAGAGTTGCCACCATTGCACATATGAGAATTGTATGTAAACGAAAAACAGCTTGTATATGCCAGTTTAGTCTGTTGATAGGTTATTTTCAAAGCAATGACGCGGCGTTGCCACATTTTTATACAGTTACCCAGCAACTTGACAAGAGGTTAAGAGCTCGAGTGGAAAATACCTGGATAAATACTCATGAAAACTCTATTTTGCGCACGGCTTTAGCGGCCATTTTGAATAATCAACTACATGAATCACAATTAGTATTTAAGTTGCTTATAGGCATTGAATGGTATGACAATCGCTGCCTTCAAGATTGCTGCATAAACAAGCTTCCGATTTGTACTTATACAAATAACCAAATAAAAACCTTGATAAAAAAAATAACCGAAATTGTTTCGAATGTGAAACCTAATAAACAAATGCTTTGTGATAAATATAAATGCACCCGATTCGAGGGAATTGATCGCCGTCCGTGGGCCCCAAAATGCCAGTTGGCAAATAAATGATAATGGTATGTCGTCGGCGCGGCTTAAGTTTCGTCAAGTGACACTAAATTATTAGCAATTATCGGAGACAAACGGTTCGAAACGACTTTAAAATTGGGCATAAATTTGCAGTACAATGAAACTTAAAAATAAAATTAAATAATTTAGGAAGAGCTCTTAGAAATTTATTATGTGTCTGAAAATTGAAGCCCAGCCATGTGATAAGAAGCGTCAGAAATATAATTCTGATAGGCATGCTACAATAATTGGCATGTTTCACATTTTGAATGATCGTCAGGGGCGTCAATACATCAAATTTCAATCATTCATGCTAAGACTTAAATATGTTGGCTCTTTATTTATATAACTTTATTCATTCTCATGCTTCAACCATTGCATTATTCATACATATTTATATATGTTCTATTGATTTCTGGTTCTTACAGCTTCGTATTCAGACATTTTTATATTCATATTTATATATATATATTTGAATGTTTTTGTAAAATTGTTGTTTTACAAGTATAAACTAATTGATTAAATTGTTTGCGCAGCATCGTCCGAATTATCCTCTTTTATAACATTTATTTATTTAATGCACACGAATAAATATTTATATATATAGCACTTAGTTGCTGCACGTAATTGTAAAGCAGGTTTCTATTTATTGAATTTAATCAGTTATTGCATTCGCTTCTTGTTTAAAGTACATTTTTTTATTTATATTTATAGTATTTATATATTTATATGCTTCACAAGTTGTTCTATGTTGCAGTAATTGAGAGTTGTTTTTGTATGTGTTTGAGTATTACGCTTGGCTTTATGTGTGAGCTTTCATAAATTATAATGCGAAATAAATAAAATATATTAAAATGTCACACACATTAGGCTAACACTTTTAAATTTAAATTCATATGTTTTATAACTTCGATATTGGATTAGATCTGTTTTAACTTTTTGGTTTGATAAGCACTACACATTACAATGCCGATAAAAGTTCTGAGTATTTGTTGTTAAAAATTAGGCAGCCTAGGCATACAATAAAATTATTTGAATTAGAATAGAAAATTCAAGTAGCAAAAAATGATTAGTATAGTTAAAGTTAGGAGTTAGTTAGGAGCTTTTGACCTTCTCAATTTGTATTAATACAAATTCAAGCAGGTAATTAAGTAAGTTTAGGATAGGTTAATAACGTTTTACATATTTGTGTAGATATATATATATATATATATATATATATATATATATATATATATAGGTATGCTCATTGGTATTTGATTAGTTATTTAAATAGCTATCAAAGCTCTCTAGACCAGATTGGCCACATGCGTTGTGTCCATGTGCTGTATTAAGACGTGTATAAAGGACATCTCCTTGCGCGCATTCTCCAGTATCACCTTGGGATCATCTGAAGTGCAGCGCAAACAATTTGGCGCAAACACCATGGCCAGATTTGATGAATCCATTTTGGTGCAGCTAACCACTTCCGAATTGGAGAATTGTTGCAGAAAGTGTATTAAATACGTTAGGACCTATTGAAAAAATAAACCGAAAATTATGTTAGCTAGCGCGTTACTAAAAAGTAGGATTTGTTAACTGACCAGTTGATTAATTTGTGGCAACTTATTAACTATTTCTTTGGCTTTATCGGGATCCTCGGTATTCACACAATCCTCGTAATAATCATCGGGTATGAGCGGATCGTACAGTTCACGATACCACAACTTAAGGAGACTAGCGGGCGCATGTGCATCAACTACAGAAACAAATTAAGGGGTAAGTACATATAAATAAAGTCTGGTTCAAAGTTAACACACCCATAGTATTCTTATAGTCAGGAACATCCCATCGATCCAAGCGATTCTTCATGCAATTGACCTCATCCACATCAGCGGATACACGAAAAATGCCCTCCGTTTGTTTGCCATTGAGCAGCAGCACCTAG